CAGCCGATCAAGGATTCTCTCTCATCATTGATGTTTCTAGCTCTCTCTCCCTCTCCCTTCCTCTCTGAAATCAATTAAAATGTATTTTTTAAAAAAAGAACTTCTTAGGCCGCCCTGCCTGTCTGTCCTGCCCTGCTTTCTCTGCTCACTCGGCGTGAGCTGTGACGGCCTTCCTCCTGTCTCTGGAACATGTCACATGTGCTCCTAACTCCGGGCTTTCCCACGTGGCATCCCTCTGTCGGGAACACGTTGCCTCGGGTCTTTGCAAGGCTAGCGAGGGTTTCTCTGTCAGAGCAGCAGTGTCTCAGTCATTTGCTTCCTCGTGACCCTGGTTTATCTTTTTCTGTAGCATTTGCAGTGTCTGCACCTTTGATTTCTGTAGTTTTTAAGTCTTACAGTTTGTCCGGCTTCCTCACTCCCGCATTGAAGTGTAATCTTCCGGAAAACAAGGGCTGGATCTCTATCCCCAGCAGGGCCGTGAGGCAGAGGCGTGGCCCTGGCGCCAGAAAGGACCAGGCCCGACTCTATGCACATGACTGAGCTCTCGTGTAAAACCCACCGCTGCTTGAAGGGAAGGGGTGGGGGGTGAGTGGTATGAAAACAAATGTGTGAAGTCCCAAGCCCAGCACCTAGAATGGTGCTTGGTACTCAGGTGGTACAAAAAAGACATATGAATATTCCTTTTAGAAAAACCGTTACCTAAGGATAGGTTTTTTATTGATTATTTTGAGAGAGAGAGAGAGAGAGAGAGAGAGAGAGAGGAAAAGGGAGAGAGAAAGAGACAGGGGACCAGCCCTGCAATATCCCTGACCGGGATGAGAACCTGCAACCTTTTGCTGTTTGGGACGAGGCTCCAACCAACTGAGCCACCTGGCCAGGGTAGTATTTCTCTAATAAAAAGAAGAAGAAAAGGAATATTCTATAAAATATGTTACATAAGTATATTCAAGATTAAATAAAAGATAAAATAGAAATAGGGATTGGCTAGATCCACCTGCTTCTTTGACTCTGGGGAACAGGAGGGGGGCAGCTGTGGTGTGGGTTCTGTGGGATGGGCCTCCCAGCCAAGTCTCTCTGGGGTGAGGAAGGTGGTTTTTCTCTCTGCCCTGGTCCCCCGTATACTCAGCGACCCCTTTGTTTAAGCCCGAAGCCCGGAGGATGCGTCCCGGCAGGTGAGCGAGGTGCGTGTGCGAGGGCCGCGGTCTTCCTTCTCACCCACTCTCTTTTCTTTCCGCCTCTCCTGTGCGCCCGTCCCACCTCCCTAGACGGTCCTGCCTCCCAGGCTCAGCAGCTTCCAAACTCTCAGGTCCTGTGGCCCGACGAAGCTGTCTGCCTCCGGAAGAAGAAGAGACACGCTCGGCCGGACCCCTTTGCCCGCCTCTCAGACTTGTGCCATCGCCAGCTTCCGGAAGACCAGACGGCCATCCTCAACAGCGTGGACCATGACGACCCTGGCCATGCCACTCTGCTGTGACGACACAACTCAAGTGCTCCCGGAGTGAGAGCGCGGGCCGAGGGCCGGGGCGGTGTTCTGCTTCCACCCCTTCATCTCTGGGCAGAGCGGGGTCTCCTCCACACCTGGCCCGCTGGCCTCATCTTTAGGACATGGGACCGGGCAGACCCTCCGGTGGTGGGTGGAGATCAGGACGTGGACTGGGGACAGGGCCAGATGCCTGCCTCCGCCCACCGCTCCCCTCTTCCCGCCGTGGGTTTTTCTCACTTCTTCAAAGATCTTTGCAAGTGAGGAGGCAAGCGATGGCTTGTATTGCTCTCAGCTTCTGCTTCGGCTTTTTAAGTCCCCCCAAGCGCTGCATATATATAGATATAGGTGCAAATCATAGGTTCGTAGTGTGTGGGCTTCTCTATGTGTATATAGATGTACATTGAAGCAAAGTGCTGTTTATTTCTGTGGTCAGTGAAAGAGGCGGGAGCTCAGTGAGTAGGACCGCGGAGAGCTGGGTGGGTGTCCTGACGCCCGTCTCGGGGATTTTTTTCTTCCTGAAACAGGAGTCACGCCTTCTCAGCCGATCTCACCATTGGACTCTCCACCTTCTCCCACCCAGAGCAGAAATGGGGGCTTGCCGTTGATTTCCAGCTGCCTGCTTTGGGGGTTCGGCAACGCGTTGCCCCAGAACTAAACACAAGCCTGTATTTCTTGGTTCCTGGGTGAAGAAAGGGTGGCAGGCAAAGGGCCGGACTGGTGTCTTCCTTCCACGGTTGGGTTCAGAATGGAAGCAGGCCTGCACCAGCTCGCGCGCTCACCCATCAGCCCCTTCGGGTCCAGCCCGGGCCGGCGGGAGCCTTGGGGCCAAAGGGCCTCCATTCTGGAGCCGCCTGCGCTGCACACCTCGCTGCTGCTGCTCTATTCATAGCCCGCCTCCGGCTCGGCGCCCTCGGAGCGCTGATCCAAAGCCGCTGACTGGGTTCTTCCTTTCCTTTTGTGGGAGCTAATTTCCCAGATTGATTAATTGCCACTTGCGGGGAGCCCGCCGGCGGCTCCTCTCCCTGCTCTCCACGTGCTGCCTGCAGACTCTTCGCTGCTCAGGGGGCCCCCCTCCACCCTGTGGGCCCGGTGTGGGCGGAACGGGATCAGATGAATCTAGGATTCCTGGGGGTTCTGGGGGTGCTCTGGACCCCCTCTCTTCCCCTGGTTCTGTTTAAGTGGAACTGGCTGAGGCATGGAATGAAGGTGGAGGGGGCGCTCTGCCCAAATCTTGTCCTAGTTCAAACTGTTAGCACCAGACACTTCTGCGAGGTCATCTTAAAATACCTGAAGATGCATCTCTCTCTCTCTCTCTCTCTCTCTCTCTCTCTCTCTCTCTCTCTCCAGTCAGATGATGGCACTGTCCAGGCACAGGGCAGAGTCCGAGGGGGCGGGCGTGTCTGGTTTCTCTTCCCTCTTCCTGTGCAGGAGCCGCCCTGCTGGCCGCCGGGATCCAGGTGGCTATCGGGTTCCTTGAAGTCTTTCCTTCTTGGTGCTGCTGTCCTGGTGGGTTTGGGGACATCTACCTCTCCTCAGTCACCTGCTCACACATCGGCCAAGTCAAAGCACTGGAGGCGGCCCAGCCCCGTGACCGAGGCCGGCGTGGTCTCCGAGAGCAGGAAGCCGCTCCTGCTGGGCACTTCCCTCTCAGGGCTGGGCGCTCCGCCACCCAGACCCGGTGCTTCCTTTCTCTCGGCTGCTGCACATGGGGACAGTTCCACCGCAGGTCTGCCACCCCAGTCGCAGCCACAGTCCGCTTCTCAATGCAAGAGGTAGAAAGGGGCGGTGTCTGGCCCTTGTCTGTCAACGGCCTCATCTCTCCGGGGCTGGGCCAGCGCCCTGGGGTGGACCCTGGACCTTTCGGCTAATGTTACGCGTCTCTGGACATCCAACTCCACTTTCCCACCAGCCCGCGGCCCCAGCAAACGGGAGCCAGGGGTGGTGGCGGTCTTCCTTGCGGGGCAGCACTGCCCCTGCCACGAGCCCATCAGCGATCACAGACACCTCTGCTGGGCACGGGCCTCGGCCCCGTCTGTGCTCGCGACCTGCAGTTTCTCACGCGCGCCGGGTCCCAGCTGCAACGCCGACGTGGGGTGTCAGGGATGTGGGTCTGCGGGATGAATGAGGTCAGACTTTCTCAGCCCTGCGTTGGAATTCTGGGCCCTTCCGGTTACAACAGGAGAAGATGAGGGGGAAGCTTTGCCTTTTTGGGGTGTCGCACAGGACCGAGAGCCAGAGTCTGGGCTGAGGTGCCACGGGCTATGACCCCACTACCGCGAGTGTCGCCAGCGCTGACCAAGGTGCTGACCCCCTTTTTTCCTTCCTCTGGCCACGCCCTCACCTCCAGCACATCAGGCCCAATGATGGGAGCAGAGTGTGTTGCTGGCCACCGGGTGGCAGCTGTGCTGGGCGAGGGAAGGACACAGGCCACCCTCTCCGAGTGGCCGAGTGGCCATGGGCTCATTTCTCCTCCCGAGAGCGCTTCCTTCTGTGACAGTGTCTTTGAAGGCCAGCGGCCTTCCTACCCCCTGGGAGCTGTTTCAGTACCTCCTGCAAGGACTGTGATGGGAATTGCCAGAATGCAGCGCCTCTGTCCCCGGGGGGATGGAGGGATGATGTCTCCAGTAGACACTCAGGTGCTGGGGGGGGGGGGCCTGTGTGAGGGGGTGCAGGATGGGGTGCAG